ATATTCATCGAAAATTTTAAACTAGTAAAAGACAGAAAACTGTACTTGAACAACAATTAAAATAAATTAATTAAAAATATTTTAAACTACCCGCCCTTTGTTCCAGTATTTTAACTACCGGGCATATATCCCACCAATATTCCCAAACAAGAGCATGATGATTTTTGAGAATGTTTGGTGCATAATCTATAGAAAACCTAGGGTAAAATACCTGGCAATAGGAGAGAGGTTAAGTGACTCACAGTACATCTAAACAATGGGCTTTTAGACAATGGTTAAATATAATGAGATAAATAAAGATTAAAATAAAATGCACTGCTGTCACCTAGTGCACTGGTCAGGATCAGCCAGCCACAGCTTTTTTTGCCTCTACCCGTCTCCACCCAGCCACCCAACTCTGCTCCTCCTACCGGTCTGGATGAATATGTCTACTTTAACTCTGGATTAAAAACATGCTCATGGTTGAACAGCACTAAAATAACAAAAATATATTTATATATACAATGGAGTCATATCCAGTGAGGGGATTTGGTCTTGAAGCAAATTCACAAGGTGGAAATCAACGGCAGTCCACCCTGCACCTGAGCACCCTGGTACCACACTCAGTTCCATGTGATGTTCATCTTCCAAAAACTTGGAAACTTGGATCTCCTAAGGGGCAGCAGAGTTGAGGCTTGCATCTCAGGGTCTGTCAAGGCTATGTGCTCATTAGGAATAATGGCCCAAACTTCTCTATTTAGATTGTTTTCTCTTCGTATGTTTCTATGTATTTTTTTATGTGTTCATTAGTCATTTTGGTATAATATAATGGAACTTCAATATATACAAGTTTATCTATGGAAAAAGACCTGAAGAACTACCCACCAAAACATTAACAGTTTATTTCTGAAGGGAAAGAAATGGACATTAAAAATAAAACATAATATTTTTTCTTGGTACTATTTAAATTGTTTGATTTTTTAGTATGTTATTATTTTATACTTTAAATATCTACACAGAAATTTTAAAATTTGGTATGACTAACACAAATTCAAGGATGTGTGGAGAGTCATGAGACAAGGATGTGAAGATAATTTGGATTTGATTCTGTAGATAATGAGAATAACAAGAAGATTTTTATCTTGAAGGGTGAAGTAATTTAATCTATTTTGGGGGGAAATAACATATAGGGTTAAGAATTAGAGATGGCACTGGTGAGTGGTAGGCTGAGTTTAATGGACTCACTTTCTTTTGGTCTTCATAAAACAAAAATGTTCTTCAATCTAATTTTGAGTAGATATAACTTGCACTAAAAATTCCCAGGGTATGATACTGAGGTTTTAATGACTATAAAATCAGTCAAACAGTACAAACTTTTAGTCCCTCCTTCTTTCATCTCTCATGTCATCTGCATTTGGTGTCCTGCCATCCTGTTTACAGGTGTCTTGGGATGGGGAAAATTCAGTCTCCTTCTGAGTCATATGGATGGACCAACAGTGATAAAGGGCAGAAAATTCCTAGTAGAGGCTGGCCTTACTGGAAATCAGAAACTGGAAGTGTAGGGTGTCAGGATGCAGTTTAGAAGTTGTCATTTGAAGCTGGTCTGGAAACTCAGTTGCACTGAGTTCTAGCTCACAGACCAGGTCCCTGTGAGTTGTAACAATTTCAGTATCTTCACCTGGTGACATTCATTGGGTGTTAATCTCCTCTAGGGCAGTTTCTGAAGAAAACCACTGTGTGACTGTAAGGTGGGTGAGAGCCTGATGGTGTACAAACCACTGATTGTGAGGATCATATGGTGAGGTGACCCAGGAACCCTCCAGCAGAAGAATTGGTGGTCAGGGAAGAGAAGCACCATTTGTGTATTTATTTGAGTCCAGAATGTTGCTTAGTCTAGTTAGTAAACACTGTCCAAGAACATGGTAGCTGGGCTGGTGAGATCCTCTAGTTTGTCAGAGCCCTATCCTAACCACAACAAACCTTTGAAGGAAGATAATTTCCCATTCATTGCTCCATTGAGATAGTGTCAGTCTGTAAGTTTGAGGCCCACCTTAATATCACTAATAGAGATTGAGTTTTTTTGGTTATATACCCAGCCAGTTCATACAACAGACTTTCCTAGGAAGCATGGGTATGACCACATCATAAAAAATAACTATCTTCTTCTCCGTTTATAACTCAAATCCAGGGACAGTCTACTGATCCCATCTCTTTTTACCTTTGTGGTGACTTTATTTTGGACATTTTGTTATCCTCTTTGCCCACTGACCTTGATTAGTAGTACCCTAAATAGATCTTTCCAACTCATTCATTTATTCATTCATTTTTATTTTGACAAATACTGTATTTACTGAGTGCTAATGTGGGTCAGGAATTATGCAAAACATTAAGAATATAACTATGAGCAGAGAGAGCCACTATCTGTGCCTAATGTTGCTTAAAGCCTAGAGGATGACTGAGGTATTAAACAAAAAGAAACAATATAAACATGAAGACACACTGTGATAAGGGAATGATGGAGTTGTACAGGTGAGGTTATATAAAATGAGAATCACCTGGTCAGGAATGTCAGCCAAGGCTTCTCTGGGGAAGTGACTCTGCTGAGCTCTTCCTTCAGGGATAGAAAAGTCAGGCTCCTGGCCAGGCTGACTGAGTTATTTCCTACCAGAAGGTGAAGAAACATTTCTACAGTCACTTTAGGGAGAGAAAAACAGAGATGGAGGAGGGGAGAGAGAGAGGGGGACAGAGAGAGAGAGAGAGAGAGACCTGTTATTCCATAGCTGTAGTTCAATAGGGCTTACTCAGCTATATTCGCTTAACTGAGGGCTAATCAAGTGACTCTGAAGGACAAAAGGAATAAAAAGAAAGCAAACAAATGTATGCCACCATACTTATTAAAATGTTGCTTAATATTTGTATAATATCACTGAAAGGTATAGTCTCTTCCTGAACCTGTGGTGCCAAAACTCAAACATGTTCCACCTACTTTGGGGCTTTTTCCCCATGAATGTTCTGCTTTGTAGGCAGCCAGTAAGCCTGTTTCCAATAACTTTTCCAGTTTTTCAAGGCCCTTTGAGATTTTGATCAGCAGTTATTTCTTTCTCCTCCCAAGGAGACCTGCTTTAAGTTGTCTATGACTAGAACTGTTGTGGTTAATTAATTATATGCTGAAGGAACTTTGAGAGGAAAATGTAATTGTCAGATGACAAATGCAGCTTTCTGGAATTGCCAGGACAGAATTTCCAGTCATAAGCAAAGGTACTATTTGACCTTTCTGGGTGGAGAGTCTGGCTAACAATGTCCCTTCTCAGGAACCAGGAGCTCGAGTTGCCTGGTGCCCAAGGTGGCACTTGTGGGACTGCCCCACAGCCCTGTGTCACAAACTTCTCTTCGGAATTCCCCCAGCTAAGAGAGGACTCATGAGTCAGAATACTGGGAACTGCACAGGCAGGCAACTTGATTTTCAAGGAAGTTTGTCTGGCTCATAAATCATAAAAATAAATACAGTACATGCTATTTAGAAAAAGGCACGAGAATGTATAGGTGTGGAGAGATTAAAATGGATACAAACACATATAAGGTAACTCCCTATTTCCCAAAGAGACCCATAAAAATAATGGCTTCCAGGGAAAATGGGTCAAAAGGATGAAAATTAGTAAGGACTACTTAACATATTTTGTTAGTTATCAGATCTTATACAATGCATTGGATTCACAAATTCAGCAGTGTTGACTGGCAGTAAAATAACAAATTTAACAACAGTAGGGAGTGTTCCACTGCTGCTGAGAGGTTGGCCATCTCTGACATGTAGGGATAATCAAAACAGTTCCAAAATAATAGAACCTATTACTGTTGAAGACAGGAAGAGACGGTACACCTATGTACATTTAAAATACATATACTTATACTCAAATTGTGTATCTCATTTTTCACATCTATTATTCCTGGTGAGCATCATGACATTTCCATTTTTACATGTTGATATGAATTTCTCATTCTGACTATAAACAAAATTCAAAGAGGTAGAGAGAGAGACATAGAGTTAAAAACAACATTCACAGGAATTTCTAGATGACAGTATTATTGTTAAGAATTTTAGCAACATCCCTGAAGACATTTTAATGTATATATACATAGATATTAGTATAATTTTGTATTTGCTACAAGGTTAAGATAGCATAGTATATACATAATCACTCTCTTTTATTCCTACTCCCTAGGAAGGAAATTTTGTGCACTTAGCAGTTTCTTCTCTCCCTACATTATTATTCAGAATATGGAAATCACTGAAGAGATGATAAAAGGAGGCAAAAAAGACAGTAAGAGAAGTGGTTGATGAATTTTGGGGTGAATTATTATTGAAACTGGAACAGGCTGTGGGGCAAGAAAGCCTTCAAGCTACTCCAGTGTCAGAATTAGAGAACAAGATGAAGAAGGTGGGGTACAGAGGATATTTTAAGATGTGGTGTGGTGGGTTAGGAATGATATGTTCTTTAATGTTTTCTGAAAGTTGAGAGCAAAATCTGAAATTACTTTGTAATGTCTTTTGGTAGCTAGACTGTTTCTGTGAATGCTGAGACCAGATCATAGCAGGATTTGGGATTTGTTGCATATATACATAAATAAGATTATACAACATCAACTATGCTGCTTTGTAATTTCTTTTCTTTAAAAACTATACCATGGAGCTTTTATTGAAATCAACAAATATAAAGCTCTGGGATTCTTTATAGTAGATGTATAGATTCTCTTACATGAGCATACTATATATTTTTAACTAGTCCATGTTGGTAGATATAGGTTGCTTCTCATTGTGATAAACATCTTTGTATATCTTTATGTATAAATATGTATATTTTTATCTTTACATATAAATCTTTACATATTTATATGTAAAGATGCATATAACTATATCATTGACTACATCACTGTATCATTGGAATAAATTATTTATTAGATATAAAATTTTGTATATAAAAATGGAATATACATTTTAAATTTTATTACATAATGCCAACAAAAAGTCGTGCTCATTTATATTCCCACCACATGGAAAATAAAAGCCCCAAAAACCACACAATCTCATTCTTATCATTTCTTACTGGTTGGTGAGGATTATCACAACTTTGACAACACATCTAGAACATAAATACAAAGAAGCTAAGAGACAAAGAGGATGAGGCACTCTCACCTAATGTATTGAGTCACACAGTTCTAGTCTTTTGGCCTCTCTAGAGGTGTCCTATCCATGGAAGGGACAAATGACAATAATATCTGTTAAGCCACACAGAAACTAATTTTACCCTTGGAGGAGAGAAAGATACTTAAAACTGGCAAATAAAACTATTTCCAGTTCAACTCATCTGGGTAATGGGACAGACACACCATGGTGGTGAGATGGTGTGTATAGCAGACTTTGTAAATCATAGACATTGAGGTACAACCTGGGAAAACAATTAACCCCTGCATCTGAATAATTAGGACTGAATTGTTTAGTTAGTAAAAGGGAATTATACACCCTGTGGTTTGACCTCAGATTTGAGAGTTATTTTTATGTTTTGCAACCTGATAGCCACATTTCCAGTAAATGAAGCATTTGTTATAAAAATGCGTTTATATATTGGCACTGAGTCAGTGCCAATCTGGACCACTTTTCCTTGTGATACCCTGATATTAAAAACCAGAATATCTAATATTGTATTTTCTCATAGCAAATGTACTATAGCAATTATTTTCCTCTGTAAATCCATGTCCCCAGGTTGCCACTGACTTTGGCACCGGAGGCCTATTGATTCTGTGCTTATTTATGCTCACTTTGTCTCCTGAAAAAATGGGTCCAGACAGCCCTCCCTGAGTTTATTTTACCATATCAGGTCCTGCTGGACTCTTAAGGACTTCAGGCACCAGAACATCTTTGTTTAACTTTGTTAGTCCCCACCCAAGAAACCCATCAGAACTGGCACTGCTTCTGAATACACAAATGAGACTAAATTACAAATGGAGAAAGTGTCTGGGATAAAATAAACTGTCACCAGAAAAAAACTAAACTATCTCCTTCCACTTTCTTTTTTTTCTGAGGGAAACAGGAAACTGACTTTGATCTTATTCTTAGGTGAGATTTATTGCTCTAATCCTTTTAGAACCACTTATCCCAGAATTTCTGATGAACAATAAGAAGGGGGTGGGTCCAGGTATCTGTAGTAATAAAGATTCAAATCTAATTTCTTCAGTTTTGACCTTTGTATTTTCATTTTGAACTAGAAGAAAACAGAACAGTGGGTTGAGGACCTCACAATTGGAAAATGTCTTGTGTTGCCTGGTGACTAGGATCCTCTGGAAATTAGATTGTCAGGATATTTAGATGCATAGAAAAATAAATAAAACTCCTTCTTCTCTGGTAATTCTCCTGAGGACAGGGTGGCCTCTAAGGTTGGAAACCTGGGTGAGAGGAGAAAATAGTTTCTGTTAGCAAAGGATAGTGAATAGTAATTATTCTCAACTATGTCTTCCCTGAGAGATGGTCTAAACCTGTGAAAGACATGGTCAGTGAGAAGTGGCCATATTCAGTATGATGCGCTTCATATTGATCTAGTTTGGAGGACCCATCAGTGAATATATACAGGCCTGCTTTCCTTCAAAGGCTGCTTTGTGCAGTCTGCAAAATAATAGAAAAGAGCCCTCTAACTCACTTGTCTTAAAAAAATAAAATAGAAACAGTCTTTCCAGTATCCTTAAGGAGGGTACTATAAGATTTGTGTTGGAAATAGATCTGAAGACTTAGGAGCAACTAGCAAATTAGATATATATATACAGGTCAATTCTCCCCCATCAGCCAATTTGAAAGTGTCTAAGCTTCTGCCAAATGATCTGTTTTTAGCTAGCATTATACTTGTGCCTTTCTGTATTTTCTCCTGCATCACAGGGGAGAAATCAGAATGGCATATTCCTGAATCTCTTTCCAGTAGAATTCTAGGTTGAATCTGCTGATGAAAGAGACTTATGTGTGATTTGGGAGGTGGAAGAGGAGAAGGTATTTTTCTCTAGTGACAGCCTTGGAGAGGGAGATGAGATCATCACTTATGGCTTCCCTTGGCTACTGGGGTCCTTTAGATGGCAGCCGAGGCTACCATGATGGCTTTCCTGTGACCACTGTACCTCCAGGTCTCCTACAGTGGACCTTTGTTCCCTCAGCTCTTTGCATTCTTTCTAATTTTCTGTATTAAATATATCTCCACTCAAAACAGTCACTCTTTCCTCCCTTAATAATTCTGAATGACACAGAAGTATAGGCACAAAGCCTTTGGCTTTCCATGTTAATTAATCTGAATTTTCATTACCACCAAATTATAGACCAACAGATGGCTTACAGACATAAAAATACATATGATACAGTTTCATTTTTATAATGTTTGAAAGCAAAATCACTTGTGATGTTAAAAGCAAGGATGATGTTTGTGTTTGGGGAAGATGGCAATGATTAGATGTGCCATGAGGAAGACTTGGGGTGCTGGTAATGCTTGATTTCATCAAGGGGGTACTTAATGGTTGAGTCCTTTTTCTAATAATTCTTTAAGCAAGATAATAATGTTATGCAATTTTATTTATAAATGTTAAACTTCAATCAAAAGTTTACTTAAAAGTATTTTAGACTGGTAAGAAATTTCATTTTTTAGTGTTACTCCTAAAAGGACAAATTGGTAATTGAGTCTCATTTTACTTTTTGACAGATGATACAACTGAGGCAGCAAGATATCCAGTAACTTGCTTAAGTTCTTTTGTATGCTCAGTTTTCTATCCATTTATGATATGATTTAATGTGAGAATTTTAAAGACAATTTTCCCTAAATATCTCTTTTCTCATTTTTTTCTGATTTATAGTTAAATAAGATCAAGTTTACATGAAATTTGATAAGAAAAATTATTTTAAGGTAATTTGTCAACTATCACTTTAAAAATATTAGAGTCTCTAGTGAAATGGTCTACAGGTAACATTGGTAAAGAAGGTACCTAACTTGCCAAGGTATTTTGAATTTTGGAGTAGGGAGAAGAGAAGCCACTGCAACAATGTGCCATTGTGATTAAATGTGGCTCAAATTCAAACAAAAATTACACATTGTAAAATATCACCAAGAAAGTTAAACGGAGTAACTAAACTTACTGTGGTTATCATTTGGTAGTGGCAAAAAAATAGAATCACTATCTTGTACACCACAAATTAATATGTCAATTATACTTAAATATAAAAATTACTAAAAAACAATTATAAAAAACAAAACCATAAAAAAGAGAGAGAATGGGTAGTGCTAAAAAACACACTAAACTCACCCATTTGTCCATTTCCCACAGCTTCTGCTATGTGAGCCACCTAGATTTTCATCTCTTAGGGCAATTTCTAAGGACTAATGGGCTCATTGACTCAGCATCACTCTCCCCACTATTCTGTTGCCCTCATAATATGGGCTGACCTATACATGCCCACCAAGCAAACCCTGTATAGTAGTGTGTTTCACCAAAATAGGGTGACTTTAGGGACAGCTGTAGATTTTACAGTTAATAAAGAAAGACAAGGTTCTTTCTGCAGAGTTTCCCTACTCCCAACCCCCCACATTCACAAGGGCCTAAATCTTAATACATTCTAGGACATTCTGAGTCCATTACAATACACATATACTGTTGAAATCTTTTAACCCATTACTTTCAGAAATCAGCAATAGTGAGTGCTTTTGAGTTCTTTGGCTTTTTCTGATCTTGCTTCCACATAATTCAGAAAAGACTGCTTCTCACAATCTATTCACTCAACATGTATTTATTCAACTTCCACTATAGGCCTGGCAGTGGGCAAGGTGCTGAGGTCACATGATGAATAAGATGAAGTCTCTGTCCCCATGAAGCTCATGATTGGTTGAAGAATAGTCATACAAAATAATACTTTAGTTGCAGGAATAAATTTTGGTGCTGATTAAAGTGAATCATTTAGGTCCTAATTATGAGTTGAAATGTTTTTTTCTTGATTGCTCTTTGCTGGTGGCCTCCCAATATGAGGGTTACCACTATTTTGAGAATTCATCTAAATGTACTAAATTTGAGCATAGGTTGGGAACATCCCAAGTTCAGATGATGAGAAGAATACACATATAGAAAAATAGTCTGGGACTTTGGGCTTGAAATTAATACTGACTAGAAGTCGTAGGAATAAGGAATTGTATGGCAAGAAGCTCCAAAATAGTGACTTTCAAACTAAGTTTGAGAAGATTCTAAGAGAAATACTGATGCCTGGCTGGAAGAGAGGATCAAAGATAATGTCAAATAGGCTTAATTGTTACCTGTCCATTATCAGACAACACTTCAGGGTTAACAGCTCTTAGCATGGAAACTTAAGGGTACCTCTCTAGACTCTGAGTTTCTACATCTTCTCCAGGCATGGAGATTCTACTACAGATTAAGAGATACCCACTTGTAGTTGTCAGGGAGATAAATTAGCTGTCAAATGTGATCAAAGACTTGAACCAGAAAAGATTATCAGTCACTCAAGATAATTTTGACCTAATTTTTATTACCCATAGATTTAAAAGAATCAGAAATTGGTTAAAAACCCTGCTATAGGACTTTCCTTCAGCTCTGATGAGAAGATCTCATGTCAATATCCAAAAGACTAGAAATAATAGGTAATGCGACTTCAACTGGATGATGGGAGTGGAGGGACCTGGGGTGAAGGGTGTCCACCTTGAGTAAAAGGGCAGCCTCTGCTTCACTGTGACTAATCACTGTATGTAGGAATACAAGTATAGTGCATTCAAAAGAACCTTCTTTCAAAAGAAGCTAGACATATGTATATTTCTTTGGTTTTCATAATTTTAAATTATTATCAATTAATTTAGAAACTATATATGGAATTTCATGGGAAGAGGGGAAGGGTTTGAAGGAACTAGTATAAAGGACACATCAACAATAACAAGGGGGGTGAAGACAGGAGGAAGGTGGGGAGGGCTGGGGGGCTGGGCTGGGATGGGGGTAAAGGGCAGAAAACTGTACTTAAACAACAATTAAAATAAAAATGAAAAAAATAAAAATTATATGTGGGAAAGGCCGTGTTTCCAGCTAGGGTTTACAAGAATAAGAAAGCCCTCTGCTCCCCATGGTAAAACAAAAAAGAAAGAAAGAAAGATCCATACAAAATTTAAATCATACTTTTCGATGGGGCTAGCAAACAGCAGAAGACACAAGGAAGGCTTGATGAACAATAATTCCTCCTTCAAACCTAAAGAAGAGGATGGTAAACAGAGAAGAAATAACATAAAACCCAATGTCCATGTGTTAACTGGATTCCAGGGCCCTGGCTGAGTTGAAACTGAAGGTGAACCAAAAATACCTACAATTGCAGTCAAACATTCTCTTATTTCAAATAGAGACAAGATTTTAAAAAAAGACAGTGGCAAGGAAGATTGGGGGATGCTCAACATCAATTTTTATCAGAGAAATGGTAGTGGATGTGTTCACCTTCCTTTAAAAAACCACCAAAAACTACCAGGAATCTTTTCACTTAAAAGTAACAAGGTACCTAGGGGTCAAGTGGGTCAAGTGGTGGACTTTGTTTCTATTGGTTAACAACCAAGTAGGGAAAATGGCATTTTCTTGTAATGGTCTCTTTAATAAATGGCAAACGTTTACTTCTGGCCATTGACACGGGGGATTAGTTAGTTTGTTTTTTTTATCTTGCATGGATCTAGGGTAAAAATAAGTTTGAAGTCCCCCTCTATGAAAACAAGTTTACTATACGTCAATCCTTTCAGGAAAACACTGAGATTTAAATTGCACCTTAATATTATTCTTCCCTCTTCTAAACAGTGTGGATAAAAGGTTTTTGTGGGAATGAAAATCTGAAATCTGGTAGTAGAAGATGGGGTGAGGTTTCAATTTCACAGGGTCTGGCAGATAGCAATTGGCATACTAACCCACTCTGAAGTGTTTCTTCCTATTCACTAAGAGAAATAAAAAAGTTTTATTCCTCTTAACATTTACCCTGGCCACTTTTATGTATTTGTCATTTATTTAGTGTATGCTAAAAGTCTGAACCCAGAGAATAAACTTTATTTGTGTGCTGTTGATTGAAAGGGAAAAGTGTGCCAAGTGCCATAAGCATTTTATTCTAAAGAGATTAATCACATTCTTTTTGGGCCAAGGAAATAAGAAAAAAAGAAATATGGAAAATGCATTTTTCTAAGCTGACTTCACGAGCACAACCACAAACGTGTGCTGAGCTGACGTTAGCATCCTCTAGATTACAATGGAAGGCCTGGAGCATTCCCCGAGTGAGTGCATAAAGATGCAAGGAATGGCTGATAAATTGCCATATGCTCTCTTCTGTGATACTAGCCTGGCTGGTGTGTCAAGGCCCTGGGGAAGTGCTGTTACAAATACTGAAGTCTAGCCTCGTGCAGCCTGTTAGGTTAATAGATAGGAATGCATCTCAAAAGTCTGTCAGCTCTGCCTTTGAGAAGCCTGCCTTCAAGTGAAAGACAGGCCAGGCTGACTCAACAAAAAGCTGGGCATCTGCCAGCTGGGGCAGCTGCTGGAGGAAGTGAAAGAAGACAGTGGGGAAAGTAATGCTGGTTTTACCTGTTTGTCTTGTTAGGTCTGATTTCTGTGAACACTCAAGGCCATCATTTTTGGTGTCATCTTAATATACTTTCTGTGCAAAGAAAAAAAGGCAGAGAGTGGCAACAATTTATTTGCATTCTCAATCAATTATTTTTCTTTCTAGGAATTTTTCTGACTTGTAAAACATATTATATAACCACTTATTTTCCCTTAAAGATGGATCTTGTTAGATTTATTCATTTCTGTCTCCTCAGAAGATGTACTAACATTGCCAGTATTGGGCAGCTGTGTATGTGAGAGAGACTGGAGAGAGAGGGGCAGACATTTGGTGGTTTTTGTTTTTCACATAGGTAAGTGTGTGTCTCTTCTCTTAAGGAAACCCTTGAAGTTTTGCTTTCTGGTCTGCAAACACCAGTGGCCATTCTCACTTAATACCAGATTCTATGCAGAAATCAGAGCTGAAACTTATCTTATTCAGGGGTTTAGAAGGAAAAGAAAACCTTTTCTCAAGGTGATCATAAGGAATTCACACACACACACACACACACACACACACACACACAAACTTTGGAGGAGAAGATCTGGGTTCTCTTATTTAGTACCATCCTTAGAAAGCACATTACCTATCCACTTAGCTTTAATTCTCCTTCTTAGAAAATGAAAAGATAGGGCATCCTCCCTCTTTTTGAAAAAACCAAGGCAAGAACAAATGAACATATTCCTTTTCTACTTCTCAATTTCTCTGTTTTGCTTATTTATTACTCTAAAGTACTAGCATTTTTACCTCCTTCCTCCATTTATTCAATGCTTCAGCCTATTCAATGTCTGAATAGACAAAGTGTCCACAGAGGTGCAGTTGGGGGCAGTGGGCATGCCCAGTGAGGTCTTGGCTTACAGTGTTTTGGCTTGCAGTCCATCTTTGGAGTAAGTTCTGTCTAAAGTTAAGAAAGGAAGATTGTTTGGGAAATTATATAAGTGGCTTATAACTGACTTCTCTAAAGTCCTCTCTCAGTCCCTTCCTCCTTTACTTTTTGCCATGAGGTCACTGGGCTCTCCTATTTTCTACACATGTTTGAACCAATGAACTCCCAAACCAGAATGGAGAGCAAAGGAGTTGGGTGGTATCATCACAGGGCTAGTCTTGGCGTGCCTCCCCAGCTGCAATAAACCTAGCATGCTATTCTGTGCAGAGTAAGGACTAAGTAGTGTTTATTGAATCAATGAAGCAGTACGTGAAAAGCGAATTAACCTGTTTATTATGAATCTGCTCTGCTGCTTTTAGTTTGGTGAGGATGAGCCAAGAGTAAATACTTTGCTGGTAGATGAAAACCAGCAGGCATTATTTTTATACCCTAGAGTATAAGCAAGGAGATTTGAAGCAAAACCCTCACATGAAGCCCATGAGCTCCCTGGGCCACTGATAATAATGAGGTTAGAGGTAAGGTCAATAGACCAGAACACTGAAAACAGAGTCTTCTGGGGGCCAGAGATCAAAGGAGACAGAGGTCAAAGGAGAAAAAATTCTCAGTTCCACTCAGCACTTAGTGATATGGTTTATGGAAGAGGCTTCTTTACATAATGAATGATAAGAGTTGACACTGCATTTGGAGAATTCTGCAGGCTCACCCTGAAAAATGGATATGTGCTCTGACTGCAGAGTTAGCCATGCCAGGGTGGAGTGGAGGTTTCATTCCCAGAATACAAATGTCAGCTTTGTAATAGCATGCAGTGTCCCTCTGATGTCTAAACTTTGGGAGCTATAGTGTGGGTCTTTTCTGACCTGCTTTGTTTTTTTAAGAAAAATTAATCCTTATTGTATTTTTTTCATTATCATTTAGCGCCCTTCTACCCCCTGACCCCCAGGAATAGGAGTCTTCAGGAATTGATCTCCCTCAGGAAGGAGCTACTACAAGCTCCTTTCTTACAAACTTTCATGGACACAAAGTCACTTCTGTGGTTCCTGTAAGATAAATGAATGATATTATAATTAGTGACTTGTTCTTCAGAGGTTAGCAGTGAGGACATACTACTCGTTGTTTTTATCATTTGAGTCAGAAGAGTCATCATTAAATGTAACATAACAGATAAGCAATTATTCTTTCAAGGATATATTTGCTTTCAACTCTCTAGAGAGGCTGTGGGAAAGTCTATCGTTTAGGACTTTTGTCATTTCCAAATTGTTCTATGCTCACAGCATCTTATCTTCTTGTGCTGTGTCATTCTGAGATTTGTTTCTGATCCTAGCCATACCCTTTTCTCACTGAACCTGCCTTTTCAGTCCTCTAAATTTTAACATTTAAAACATGTTCTAAAACTTCCAGCCCCCTTGAATTTCATAAAATGCTTCTCTAAATCTGAACTTCACTTTGGTTGCCTCAGCCAGAGCTTGTTTGAAAACGTAATAAGTTCTATGTGTAACCTCTGGGGGTTTTTTTTGTGCATGGTGTAATGTCTTTTCAGACTTTGTGTCTGTCCTAGGTGGGTAAGAAAGGTCTTTGCTGGGTACGCTTCTGAGAAACATGTTCTACACACAACAGATGACATTAACAAAGTTGAACTGTCCACAAGATGGGGGTCAGCTCTAACTTGGCAGAGAGGAAATGAGACATTAAGGCCTCAGAGCTGACTAAAAAAAAAAGGGCACAGAGTTGCCCAAATGGACTGTATGCCACATAAAGGTTTCTGTTCAAATGCCATAGAGAACAGGGGTAACTCAGTGCACTGACATCACCATCTGATGGATACTTGGCTATTTCCTGGTTTGGGCTCCCAGTCTAACTCCTGGAAGACATATCCCCTGCAGACTTCACATTCCAGTTAGAGTGGAAGTACATCTTTTTAAAAAATACAGCTTCCAGAAACATAACCTAAGTAAATAAAATCTAGTATTGAAGGCAGGAAGAAAGACCAGTCTTTCAACACTTAGTTCAGTTGGTTCATTGTATACAGATTGGAGAAATGGGAAGCAGTTGAGTTTTGAAAATTAATTATGGTATCATTATGTCAAATGATGTAATAAATGCTTTAAGTGTAGGGTTAAATGGATGTCATCTGGGACTAGGAGCTGAGAGGCAGCATGGGGTAAGATGAAGAAAACAAAAGCAAAATGTTCCTTGTCAGTCATTTAATCAGCTCTCCCAGACAAAGGATAACATTGTGCTCTAAGTGTTCAGGGTTATAGAGTCAAAGATGCATTCTACATTCTCATGGACACCTGGGCATAATCTGCCCCAGGTGTAATCCAATCTGTGAATAAAAATGGTGCTTTATAACAGGATTTAATTGCACTTTCTGGAATTTCCCCCCTCATTCCAGTTGTGGGGTTTAATTAATTCTTACCCAGAATTCAGTTACTTTAAGGTAATGCCATAGAAGGACAAAGAACTATCTTAATGTGGTTTAGAGTTAGATGCAAACTGTTTCCATTTTACTGCTATTATCAATTGTTAAAAGAACTTTTCTGAATGATTTCATTGTACATGTGCCTTGAAGCTTTCTAGAGCAAGTTGGAAATGCATTTTAGAATAAAGCACAGGATTACTAAAATGACATTAAACACTGTGAGTCCAATTTCTGAAGGAGGTGGTAGTACCCATATTTATTTATATTTTATTGCCTTATGTAATTATTCACACTCCATATTTTGAGGATAATTTATGACACTGTGTCTCCACCTAATCATCTCACTCCCACCTTACCCTTTTTCTTCTGTTCTTTCTTTTCTATGAAGCAACTCTGCCTTCTGACAAGAGCTCACAGGGGAATTTTAGAATCAGAGGTTGAGTGATCTAGATGAAAATATGCGGATCCCTCCTTCATGTGCTTTCCTTTCAATAGATGTATTTTTTCCTCAGCAAGGAAAACCTTTTGAACAAAAAAAGCGAGTTCGCCCTCATCAGAGTTGGCAAATGATTAAATTCCAGGTTTCTTCCTACTGCTCTTTGATTGTCTGTTTCTTACCTGGCTCTAACCCCATGTTCTCTGCAGTGTTAGTGGTTGGGCTGGAACCTCTGTTAATTGCCACTGAGCAAGGTTAGCAAGGGGATAAAGTGAATAACAGCTCCCTGTGGACATCTGCCTGGGGTTCTAATCCACCACAATTCCAGGGGGGTAGAGTAACAAATTTGAGGGGATTTGCCTGAAGTAGTTGCCTGGTAACCTATTTTGTATCAAACATTCTCAAGTATTAAATATGAAACTTGGAGAAAAGGACATTTCAAATAAAGCCTGCCTTTAATCACCTCATGAATATCAATATATTTTTTCTAATTCTTCTTGCTTTTTAATCTCTCTCCTATACTAACTGCTATAGGTATATTTCAAATCAAGATCCCTATCACAATCCCTCCCTTATATCTAGATAAAATGATGTATATGGAAGAATGGCTTGTCATAAAAATGTAAAATAACTTCCCTGGGTATACTGGCAGAACAAGTTCCAGGTTTTCTATTTTCTGCAAATTTTCTTAGCCACATCATATCTCAGTTAATTCAGTTGCAGAACAGTGTAATATAATACTTGAAATCTCCTCTCATTTCACAAAGATTCAGTCAAGCTGAAATGAAAGAAATTTGTATAAAACTTAAAACAGAAAACATATATTACAGAAATGTAAACGATAGTTCATGGTAAAGAGCAGTATCATAACTTGATCTAGTTTTTTGTGTGTGTTTTCTCCATTATCCAACAAATAATAGTAGTCAATATTTATGTTTCAATCATCATGCTAAGCAGTTTGCACACATTATTTATTTATATAATTATTGAGTGCTATTACCATACCCATTTTTTTACAGGTGCGAAAATAAAAGATATAAAGTAAGTTGCCTAAGGCCACATAGCTGGTGATGGGGCTGAATTTTGCCCTTCAAACCATACGTCCAGGTCCTAACTCTTGGTACTTGTATAAATAATCTTACTTGGAAAAGGGCCTTTGCAGATGTGATTACATTGAGGACTTTAGTGGGCCCTAGATGCAATGTTAAGTGACAGAATGCACACACAGGCATATGGGAGACAACCATGTGAAGACAGGTAGAGATTGCAGTTCTGCTGCCACAAGCCCAGAAATGTCTGGGCACCAGAGGATAAAAGTGGCAAGAAAGGATTCTTCCCTAGAGTTTTCAGAAGAAACATGGCCCTACAGACACCAAAGGTCATCTCTGCTGTTTGGAACCAGGCAGTTTATGATCACTGGTTACGACAATGGCAGGAAGCACTTACAGAGCCCCAGGATCCAAACTCAGGAAGTCTGATTCCAGAGCATAAACACTTGATTATTTTACTTAATTTTACCTTTTTAGTTGAAATACAAGTAAATTCAGGAGAGGAGAAAATTATCGAAGTGTATGTGGTATAATTGTTTTGGTGAAATGAAATGCTTAATTGTGAAAGTGTACTCTTACCCAAGGTAAAAATGTTAAAATTATTGTTAATGTGGGCATGTGGCTGTTGAAACTCTTAGTTTTTTGAAGTGTCCAGTATAGAAGTAGTGTGGAATAAATTGTTTTAAAAAGTAAAAAATTAAAAATCTCTTTCTAAAAAAGTAAATAGTTTGTACTCAGCAAAGATAAACAAAGTTACTAAAAAGTAAACTCAATAATAGCAGACTACAGGAACATTCTACATGATGAGTTGAGTTTGCATTATTATTATTAGTAACAATGACAAGGCCAGTTTTAGATCAATATTGTCTTGTGTATCTAGAAAAAACAAGCAATTTGACTCTTAGAGACAGTGGTTTTCTTTGGTTACACTACTTCTCTGAACAATCCAGCATTTCCTAGCCACGGTTAATGTATTTTACTAATGTATACATTTTTGTTTCATAAAATATAATCTTTGTGTTTACTGATTTGTAAATAATACTGTTAAAAAGATTTGAAAAGTATAATTCTATGGAGGTTGAGAAAGCTCTGGGTAAAGGCTGCCTCTTCTCTTGCCTGACCTCTAGGACATAGCTTGGCACAAGGGCAGCCCACTTAGGTCGCTCAGGGGCCACCATGTGCCTGCTGACTCAGCAAATAAGGAAGAAGGTACCACAGCAGGGATCCCAATCCACCTACAGAAGCTTTATCTTTTTGTGTTCAGTAAAACTGAAGTCTGTTTGAGTTTATCCTCACTCTCCATCTCTGATGTCTCTCCTGAGCTTTGATCCCACATTTGTGGCTGTTTATTGCAACCCATCCTTTGGTCTTCTGCCCAGTCCATAGGATTCAAATGTTTTTAGTATAACCTTTCTTTACCTCTCCCAACCAGATCCCCAGATGGACCTTCTCTGAATAACTTATGCTGTTAAGGGAGCAGCATTCTCCCTGGAATCAGGGCTCACGGCTTTGCCATCATCTTTGATTCTCGCCCTTCATGGTTTGTGCTTCTGATCAGTTACTGTGGGCTGTGAACTATACATCACAATTTCTCTCACATCTAAACTGTCCTCTCCATTCCCATTGCAATTACTTGCTAAGGTTAACTTATGACATTGCCTCCCGCCTAGACAATTGAAACAAACCTTTCCTGGCCCCGAATCTTACACTCTTGCCCACTCCATACATTACATACTGGCAGACGATTCACCCATGCTCTGATTTTTCACCTGTCTACATGTCTATATCATGCAGTTTGATTTCCTCAGTTGGTCACTGATGTCACTTTTCAGTTTGGTGTCAGGATACCTTTTCAGCCTTCATCCTTGCTACTGCCCTTTTGACTTCTTTTGTGCAACCAGACTTTGGTTTTGCCTCCTTCAACCACAGCCCTTTACTGCTCACTTTCCTGCCTTTTTTTAAATTCCATTGCTGCAGGTTGCAAAGCCAGTTATCTTCTCTGTCTCTCTGAATTTTATCTCACGTTAACATCTCTCATACGTGACCTCTTCTAGAATTCCAGCACTTCTTCCTAATCCTTGGGATTCCTTGGGATCCTTGGATGCACAATCAACAAAGGTACAGTAGCCCCCCCCGCCCTGTCCTCCCACTTACCTGTACTTTCTTCACTTTTCACAGTTTTAGTTACTTGCACTCAACCTCATCTAAAAATGTTAAACAGGCAATTCCAGAAATAAACAATTCATAAGTTTTAAACTGAGTGCTGTTCTAATTACTATGATGAAATCTGGCACCTTCCCACTGTTTCACCAAGGATGTGACTCATCCCCTTGTCCAGGTCATCCATGCTGTGTGAGGTCCCAGCGGCCAGTTGCTTAGCTGACTATGTTATCAGAGCAACTGTCACAGTATCACAGTATCACTTGCTTGTGTTCAAGTAACCCTTATAATGGCCCCAAAACCATTCACATAGGTTGTATCACAGTATATTATTTTAATTGTTCTATTTTATTATTGGTTGTTGTTAGTCTCATAATGTGCCTAATTTGGAAATTAGACTCCATCATAGGTAAGTATGTAGAGGAAAAAAGTATAGTATATGTAAAGTTTGGTAATTAGGTTTCAGGCATCCATTGAGTCTTGGACTGTAGTCCACTCAGTTAAGGGTAGACTACTGTAGTGAAGTAATTAAGGCTTACAGATTTAACTCATGACTTTAATATGTATTTAGGAGGAGAGCACTCACCTATAGACACCGCTGGTCTTCCAAAAAGGAGAATTTTTTCTGATTACATGTCTTGCTCCCCTAGTTGTCATTCCTTTTCTGTCTTCTCTGCCAAGCCTGGACTCTTGACATGAAGTAAATGCAGAGACCTCACTGGAATCATTAAAAGAGTTACTGTTTGACTTGACAGTCTCACTATTGTCTGCTAAAACGTAACCAGTAAGTTCAAGTGACAACTAGAGAACATAGCAGAAAAAAGGTTTCCATGATCAGAGGCCTCAGTGATATGTGCTCATTATTAAGGTTCAGAGGGGCTGGAAACTCAAATAGGTTGTGTAGGAGACCATTCTGTGTGGTGTGGGCCCAGCCCTCAGTGCCCCCCCCCAATGGCAAACATTTACTGCAAAGTAACTTCCTAAAATCCGTGCTAAACATTCCAAGGACTAGTGTAACCAGTTCAACCATTTTTGCCCTTTTCATTTGCAAATATCCCTCTTGGCAGCATAGGCTCCTTTGTTTTCTCTAAAAGGTAACCACCTAAAGCAACCTGGGATAGTAAATGAGGGCCATCATGTACTGTGCTGAGGAACCCAGTGAAGGCCATCACGGCAAGGGCTGCGGCTTCTGCTCCCCTTGAGAGAAAAGCCGTGCTGTCCCCTGTCCTCCACAGGACTCAGTAGTCCGCGTGAATGTCTCATTTCATCCATAGTGATGCGGACACTGTGGGCTGGTGTCCACAGCAAGGTTGAGTCCTGGTGACGTCAAACATCAGCTGAATCTTAGCGCATTGTCAGCACTTTGGGCCTTCCAAGTTTCTCATACTAAATGCTGTTTTTCTCAAAGCAGTGTATGTGCTCAATGGTGGGAGAAGAAACAAGATGAATACCAATTAAATTACAAAAATAAGATATAAATAAGATAGGAGCTCAATTTGCAACATCCTTGAGACCTAGGGACTGATTACTCAGATACATTTTTGTGGTGTAGCAATTGTTTTGTTTTGTTTGTTTTTGCCTAGCAGAAAATACAGGTAAAGGCAGGGCATGCTCACTCACACTTTGTTTTTGTGCCTTATTTAGAGATATGGGCTTGACTTCTGCAATCCCCAGAGACCTGGACTGGTTGAGCATAATATTCACTGGATAAAACTCTAGGTGTCTTGCAGGTTGGACCAGTTCCCTTGGCCCCTCAGCTGATGAAGGGAGGAATTCCAAGGAGACTTTGACTCACCTAGCACCCCCACTCGGAAAGCAGGTAGCCAGATAGTCAGTA